CCACGTGTTTTTGCTGATGGGAACTTGGATCCCCCTCGCAGCGAGGGTGCAGCGAGTCGTTTGGCTGATGCAGAGTGTAGTGCACGCGCTGGGGTGTGCGGTTTAACCATGTCCTGGATGTACGAAGGGCCAGATCCATTCGCAGCATGGTAAGCAAGTACCAGTGTCTTGAAGTGGATTCTAGCAGTTACCGGAAGCCAGTGTAGGGAGCGGAGGAGCGGAGTGGTGTGGGGAAATTTAGGAAGGTTGAAGACCAGACGAGCCGCTGCATTCTGGGTGAGCTGCAGAGGTCGGATGGCACATGCAGGTAGACCAGCCAGGTGGGAGTTGCAGTAGTCTAGGCGTGAGATGACGAGAGCCTGGACCAGAACCTGCATCGCTTTCTGTGTCAGCTGGGGACGTATCTTCCTGATGTTGTAAAGCGTGTATCTGCAGCAACGGGTTGTAGCAGCGATGTTTGCAGTGAAGGACAGGTTGTTATCTAGGGTCACACCCAGATTCCTTGCAGTCTGAGTCGGGGAAAAAACTGAGGTGCCGATGTTGATTGTTAGGTCAAGAGTGGGACAATCTTTTCCCAGAAGGAAAAGCAGCTCAGTCTTGTCAAGGTTGAGCTTGAGGTGATGATCAGACATCCACTGAGAGATGTCAGCTAGACAAGCAGAGATGCGTGCGACGACCTGGGTCTCTGAGCGGGGAAAGGACAGAATTAATTGGGTGTCGTCAGCGTAGCAGTGGTATGAAAAACCATGCGGGCTAATGACTGATCCGAGCGAGTTTGTGTACAGGGAGAAGAGGATGGGACCAAGAACAGAGCCCTGAGGGACCCCTGTAGTTAATTGACAAGGGTCGGACTCAGATCCCTCTCCAAGTTACCCTGTAGGTACGGTCTTCGAGGTATGAGGTGAGGAGGGAAAGTGCAGAGCCTGAAACTCCAAGTTTTTGGAGAGTGCGAAGGAGGATCTGATGGTTCACCGTGTCGAATGCAGCAGACAGGTCCAACAGGATGATGACAGAGGAGAGGGATATTTGAGAGAGCTAGCAGCCACTCTTAGAAGGGGGGTATTTGTTGTGTTATGGGGCCCTCTAGTGTCTGAACACGGTGGTACCCCAGGTTGACAACCCCGGTCAACACTGCGCATGCGCGTGGCGGTGATGCCTTCACAGCCCCGTCCATCGTCTGCCTTCTGAGAGAGCTAGCAGCCACTCTTAGAAGGGGGGTAGACGTCAGACTGTTTATTGTTTTTATTGTCTTTCTTTTTATTTGTATTGACTGCGCCCTTGGCTTTAAACTGAAACTGGAAAATGATTTATTAAAAGACAATAGTGATGACATGTGTTTGTGTGACTTAAACGAGCAGCGGAGCTTGCTGTCGTTGATGTTAAGTCCATTTCCCTCATGGCGCGAACTTGAGGATGACGTTCTGACATCACTCGAGGCGGCGAGAAGATGGGGGCATGGTTGCACCCCGGAAACACATGAGCATCTAACACTGGAACTTGTTCTGGAGCTGGAGAACAGGGAACTTCCAGCTCATTTATCGAGGAGAGGAGAGGAGGCTGTCAGGCCGTCCTCTTCTTCTTCCTCGTCTGGTGGCTGAAAGTCTGGGCTGCTGCCGGAACCGGAGACTATCTTGGCCAGCTCGTCCTCGCCTCGTGTCTTCTTCGAAGCTTGAGTGGAGCCAAATATGCCCTCGGGAACAATAGGCATGTCCAAGACGTCCTCTTTTTCCCGGTCTGGAAGGTTCGTCAGGGTAAGCCACCGGGCTCTCTCCTGTACCACCATTATCTCCAGTGCTTTGCCCGTGGCTTGGACTGCACAGTGCTGCACACGGAGGCAAATGTCCGTGATCGCTGCGATTTCGTCCCACACGGCAGGCTCAGGTTTGATCTGGAGGTCTCCTTGGCCACTTCAGGCCAGGGGATGTCCAGCCTGGACGCAGCGCGTTGGCACACGGTCTGCAAGTCCATACTGAGGCAGGGCGAAGCTGGTGTGCTTTCGCCCGGGGGAGCGGACATCGCCTCCGGCTTGGCAGCCTGGGCAGATGAAACGAAGATGTCATCTTCGTGCTCATCCGAGTCGGATAAGAGGAACTCAGAGGCATCCTCTTCATCCTCCTCCATATAATCCAGCTGTAGGACATCCTCCGCGGGTGGAACCACAGTGAGGTCCAGTTGGGAGCCCCAGCTTGACACAGCGCGGGGCTCCGCTCTCGCGGCTCTTGCCGCCACCGGGCCCCAGCCTGACACGGCGCGGGGCTCCGATTCCGCGGCTACCGCCGTTGTTGAGCCCCAGCCTAACACAGCGCGGGGCTCAATCTCTGCGGCGGTCACCACCATGTCCCGATTGCCGGCCGGCGAATCAACGGACATGAAGGGGTCCCGTCCCGACAGGCTAGCTTGGCGCGCTAGCCGTCGGCGGAGGCTCTTGATGGTGAAGCGGACACAATGCCCGCACGAACCGGGGGTATCGATAGCTTCCTGGGCGTGTTCCAGCCCAAGGTAGGACGAGCAGACCTGGTGTGAGTCCGTGCCCGAGATCCTAAACCCGCAGCCGCAGAGCCGAGCCTCCGACTCCTCTGGTGTGAGGGAGAGAAGGGTCCATCCTCGTTTGCCGGGGTGTCGGCGCGGAGGGACAAGCTAGTAACAGGTATGTCACCGAAAAGAAAAAAAATCCAACCTTATCGTTATTCCGAAAGGAAAAAACGACGGGGTAGATTTTTCTTTAAAAAATATTAACTGGTGTTTTAATATCTTTCTTATCTCCGTCTCCTCTGGTGTGAGGGAGAGAAGAGTCCGTCCCCGCTCGCCGTGGTGTCGGTGCGGAGGGATAAACTAGCAACAGGTATGTTACTGTTTGAAGAAAAAAATCAAACCTTAACGTTATTTCGAAAGAAAAAACTGGCGGGGCAGATTACAATATTAACTGGTGTGTTAATATTTGTTCAATTCTTCTGCAAAGCAAAAAAGTAACCGGCAAGCGCCCGTCGACCGAATGTTAGCTTGGGTTCAGTCTGTGGACCGTTAAGCTAGCCCGGCTACTGATATTCGAGATGTGCTCTGAAGCAAGAAGAGGTGTTTGAATGACGCTGCAACGTAGCGCAAGCTACTTAAAGGGTGGGTGGATTCCCTGACGTAGACGTCAAGATCACCAGCCAATCAGAATTGGCGTAATGAGATTGATGCTTCTGTTTGCATACGCGTTGAGGCGCATCCCATAGTGAGACATCGAACGGAGTGTTATGAATGAGAACAGTGTTTACTGTATATTGAACTTGCTGGCCCATATTTCTCATGAATGTTGAGAACACAAGCAGTGTGGAGGGGGGGTCTCGTTCTTTTGTATGAGAGCTGCTCATTGGCGCATGAGGACAAAATGGCCCGACTTTGCCTCATGCCTGGCTGTCAGAGCAGAAGAAACCGTATGAGCGCTCACGCAGCATGCGCCCCTTAAGTCCCGCCCCCCGAGCTCCCACTCTCGGCTCACTAGAATGAATGGAGAGAGAAAATAAATCTAGATTTGGCTTTTAGTGCATTTTACAACTTTAAGGACCTAATGATTATAATAAGGGCTATTACATAGTTCATACTGGGCAGTTTATTTAGTTTTTAAAAAAGTATCCGCCGATTTACAGATGTCTCTTTCCCCATGTTAGTTGATGGGAAAAAGTCTTTCTGGGCCCAGTGATGTCACAGACTGATACGGAAATTGTAGTACCGCCGTTTGGACATAACTAATATTTTCCTCAGAGTCCGGCGCACTTCCTGGGGACTTGGTGCAGACGCCATCTTTGGATAACTTTGTTCCTGTCAGCTGTATTGTATTCCCATGAGAAGGTGTTTCAACTTTGTAGGGTTTATAATATATTAGCTTTGAATCATAAGTGTAGGTGAACACTGCGTTTGAAACCATGAAACAAGTTTAGTTTAGCTAGCAGAGTTCCTTCTCAATTAAAGGTGATAGCTTTAAGATCCTTCTATTTTAATGGTTGTCAAATAAATTAAAACACTCACATGCTCCAGGGTTGCTGACTGGTGATGAGCATTACTTTTTCAGTATAAGATGTTAATAGCTAAAATGAGTGCTGTACTTTGAAGGGAAATACAGCAGGTCAGAGTTACTATTCTTACCACTAATTCAATAAAAGTGTATTTGCTTGAATCGTCAAGGGTTCCTTTTTCAAGTTATACATAATTGAACAGTGATGTGTTTTTAAAATGCAGATTTATTGTGTCCTTATTGCATCATGTTTAAAATATTTTCTTGGCCATCATTACCTTCCCCTCTTATGAAGTTTGGAATCTGGTCACATTGGGAGCATTAAAGCAGTCAGTCAATACTTGTAAAGCACCTCTCCATCAGGACACCATCACAACTCCACACATCATTTAAGACAAAGGATCTTAGCATCTGGCATTCCCTATTAACCTCTCTGAAGGCTGTGAATAAGGAACACAACCCCCCCCCAGTGAATGAGGAAATGAGATCCATGTGAGAGAGCACATGTCTGTTCTACTCTCTGCTTTATTACTAATGTCCTCGTATGCTGGTGGTCAGAGCAACAACACAAATATCCATCAGTGCATACAGATTTAATAAAATAGGTATGTTTTACACAGTCCGTGCATACATTACACTAAATATGTATTCAGCCACAGACTCTGTTTTTAATGTTATCTCTCTTCATTTGCACACTGTGACAGGGGTGCACTACATCATCTCACTGTATATTTTTGTATAATGACAATAAAAGCTTTCTATTATATTATATTCATACCGTTACTACGTGTTTATTCTTTCTTTCTTTTCCTATTTTCTAATGGATTATTATTATCCTTGTGTGTATTCTCAGGTGTACTCTGTGTTTCTTTCTTATTCCGTTGCTGCTACAACACCTGCATTTCCCTGCGGGGATCAATAACGGTCCATCTTATCTTAATGTTATTATTTAGCAGTATAGCAGTTGTAGCAGTAGATGCAACAGGAGCAGTATCACACTTACCTTGCACGAGGATGTGCACAGAGGTGGTTCTGGGCCGGCTGCTGGTCTGCACCGCACACACATACTGGCCCTCATCCGTCATGTCCACGTTTTCAATCTTGATGGTAAACTCCTCTTGATTAAGGGTCACCAGACTCACTCTGGAATCCACCGACCATTTGTCTTCTCCTGCGTACAGTATGCTGGAGCGGTTCAGCCAGGCTGTGTGTGTGACCACGTCCCCCTGTCCACACCTGTGAAGACATAGAAACAGCACCTGTGAAACTGGGGCTCATACCAAAGGGGACTAAGATTACCTGAAATACTCATATAATAGATAGATATAAAAGCAACCTTTGGAAACATTTGTTGGGAAAACAAATACATAATGAGATATTGACTTATTGTGGCCAGGTGGCACAGGTATATGTCAGTGGGACGTGGGTAAAGCACTTTGAGTGTCCGACTCACGGACTGACGGACAACTTCTCACTTCAAAAATGTTTTAACAAATCTAGACCGCAAAATAATTAAACAAGCGAGTGCCTTTTTTCCTGGCCAAGGACAGGTTCCTTGAACACAACGCGAGCGTAACGTATCATCACGTGATGTAGTGCTGACAGAGAGCACCGGAACACTGCTCCAGCACTTCAAATATTGCAGTACCCATAAGGAGCAGCTTTTGCGTGGCTGCAGGGCCGGTCCTATACCTTTTGGTGCTCATGGCGAGATTATGATTTGGTGCCCCCCCGCCCCTCCAAGCAATACACAATAGAATATATAATGAATAAATGAAAAATCTCTACAAAAGACCAATACACTACAAAAACAGAAACGTATTGACATGTTGGTTATATACATGTATTTTATTTTTTGTTGTTCATTCATATCTTATTTTACCTAGTTAACATTTATTTATTCATGCATTTTTTTTTATATCTCCAGTTTTAAACGATATATTTGGTTACTGTCCTATAGTATACATTGGAATGATTTCAAACCTGTTGTTATTTATCCTAATAATTATAAAGGTGTACCTTGGAAATATTTGTTATTTATAAATTGTTTTCAAAACGTTTGAGACCCACTGAGATAACTTAGACTAAAGTGAACTATCTAAACACTCAAGAGTCCTTTACCTCACTGAGCTGTAGTTATCAGCCTCAAGCCAACAACAATCCGCGGAACCGATTCTCTCTCTCTCTCTCTCTCTCTCTCTCTCTCTCTCTCTCTCTCTCTCTCTCTCTCCTCTCGCTCTCTCTCAGTCAGCCTCTCTGCTCTCTCTCCTCCTCCCTCTCTCTCTCTATCATCGCCTACCCTTCACTCTCTCTCTCGTCTCTCTTCTCTCCTCTACTCTCTCTCTCTCCTCTCGTCGTCCTCTCACAGTCTCGAGTCGCATCGTCTACTCTCTCTCTCTCTCTCTCTCTCTCTCTTATATGGATGTTGAGAGATGTATCTGTCAGAGTGGCAGTGTTCTATTGGCCTGAAATCCCAAAATGTGCATGTTTTAATTATTTATTGAAGTTTGGTTTTAATCAACATCATATCTTCTATAGATTTGATTGACTTTAAAGGTGTGATTTTATAAGGATCATTGCATGTTTTTTACTTGTGCTGTGTGACTTTTAATGGAGTGATTATTGCATGATTTGACCTGTGAATCTTGTTTGTTTATTTCTTGGGATTGGCATTATTGAAACCGGCTGTGTCTGACTGGACAAACCCCCCATGGCGCATGATTAACCGATAGTGAAAAACCCAGAAGTAAGTTAGCATTTTTACCACTTCCAGTTCCTTCGACAAAAAGCAATGGGATTTTTCCATAGGATTTTGGAAAATAGCTCGAAATAATAATCTACAACATTAAATCCATCAGCAGTGACCCCACTGGTGATTTTTGAAGAGTTGACGTGTCTGAAAAACGATGGTTGTTAACAAGTGGCTGAATAGGACTACAGAAGTTGTCCAGGCCGTTTTACGTCATTACACCGAACACCTAAACACTCCTCTAAGTTTGTTTGCCCTGTTTTGCTTGAGAGCAAGTACCTGCCACAAAACGTGATCCGTCTCTTAAATGTGTTTCAACCACAGATCTTATTTCCAGCTATTTTCCAAAATCCTATGGAGAAATTGCATTGCGTTTTTGTCGAAGGAACCGGAAGGAGTTTACATCCGGGTTTTAGGATGCGTCACTGCGGTTCTCTATTGTCAGTTTTCTAAAGACAATAATTCTGCTTGGTCTTGATTCCAACAAGTTTTACCTGGGAGTGTTATACAAGCTATTTTAACTAGTATTGTATTACCTTTTATCATTGTTGTTTTTAACCATTTTTATAAATAGATCTATCTTAGTATTTAAACTGTAAATTATTGATTATAATAAATTATCTAAAATCTGTCCTGTAGTCCTCTATTCTTTAACGGTGGAAATTAGTTGCTGGTATACAAAGGAACCTCACACTATCGTGTGACATATCCATAGATCTCTTCTTTTTGCTCTCAAAGTGCACCAGATTGATGCATTTAACTTCAATATGTAAAAACAAATCTTCCCGGGGGAGCATGACCCTGGACCGCCCTAGTGGATGTGAAGTCCCCCCCCCCCCGCCCCACACTTAAATGATGTACGCATGGATAGGATACTAAGTACATTTGCACACACCTTGGGTCCATATCTTTCTGTTGTGGTGGTCATGCCACAACCGTGCACGTGCATGCATGCGCGAGTCATGGTAAGGTATCTGGTAGGGCTGCACGATATATCGTGTCGTGGCGATAATCGCGATATGCGCGATATTCACATCGCGCATTTAAAAAAGAAAAAAGTAGGACTTGTGATATTAAGTAGGCAAATTAACTCAAACACGTCATGTTACAATTATTTTGCTGCTTGCTACAAAAGGAAAACTTGCGCGGCTCTCATGTCAGGGGTACTTGAGTGAGTGACATGCAGGCTCTGCATGCACAGCAAACCACCGATCACAATCAAATCTCCAAAGCAAACGGACCCCGTGATTAAAGGTAGAAACACTGAATAAAGTAGTTTCATGTGTTTCTCCAGGGCAGTCTGGCGCTGCTAACCGAGCTAGCTCAGCTTGTTGCTCTGATAACTTAAGATCCAGACGTCCGTGACTAAAATCCTTCATCCGGTTAAATATAGTTAAAAAAATACCAATTGTATAGCATTAAAGTTCAAGAAAGGATGGTTTGCGGAAAAAAGAACGGTCTTTTCTTCAATTCCTGTATGTTTTCATATCGCAATATATATCACAGGGGGGAAAAATCACAATGTCAGTTTTTTTCAATATCGTGCAGCCCTAGTATCTGGATTAAGAGGTTGCTTTTTCTTTGCACAGCATGAAAGAAAGGCTAAATGAATGGGCTGTGATTTTAGTTTTTTTAAGCAGAGGTTGAGTTCAATAATTTGTACGACCCTCGGAGGATGTTGTAAAAATTGAAATGGCCCTTGAGAGGAAAAAGGTTCCCCACCCCTGCTGTAAACAGTGGCGTTTTCTCCCGGAGGCCAAGGGAAGCCAGGCTTCCCCTGTTTTTTCGGATTGTAGTTATAATTTAAATAAATAAATACAAACACTTTGTTTTGTTTCGATAATTCTCCTTTGCTGTGTGTTGCTGCCGGCCCGGCTCTCCCCCATTCTCATTGAGTATTTTACAAAGAGTGAAACAAACAGCGCCCCTCTAGATGTTATGGTGAAACAGTAGATTGCACTCACTGTTGCGAGAGGAGGCCAGCCGAATCTAGCTTCCCTTGGTGAAAAAAAATGGAGGGATTGACCAATCAGATGAGGCCCACGTGATGCCCCTGCCAACCTGTGATTGGTCAGGGCCATGCCAAGGGAAGCTAGCCGCCTCTTGCTTCCCTTCAGAGGCGGCTGGCGGCTGGCGATTTGATTGGACACTGCCATCCAATCAAATCACATCAACATCAGTTTTAATACTGTAACTGTCATCACCGCCGTTAGAAATTATCAAGCAAATGAAGTATTATGGAGGGTGGATATTTGGCGTACTTAATCAAACATAACTTTACTAAACTTCCGCTACAGCAGCAACTACAAATTAAATCAGATGACAGGCAAATGCCCGCACTCGAGCTGTGTACGCAGAGGAAAAAGGGAGAGAATCGGACGTTCAATGAGGACAATTATGTCCGCACGGAGTGGCTAACTGGAAGCGCTAAACTTCAGCGTCTAATTTGCTGGCCATGTCTTCTTTTTGACAAGGATTCGTGCTCCCTGAACAATCCTTGGGCAACTTCAGGATTCATCGACTTTGCCAACCTGTCACGGGCAATTGAGAGGCACGGTAAATCCAAAAATCACATAGATTGTGTGATTGTCTGCATACATTAATAAGTAAAATGCTTAAATTAATAAGGAGAGAGTTTCAGCTGGAGAGTGCGTGCGGACCTGTCGGTTAGATAACAGGCGTGTGCAAGTCCTGCATCTGTGTGATACAAATGTGTGTAAAATGATACCGGGCGCTGTAATCACTCATCTGGTTACGTTATTGACCACCCCCCGACCCAAAAAATGGGCTTCCCCTACATTTTTCCCCACGCCACGCTACTGGCTGTAAATAATAATAAAAACCCTTGATTTATAACTTAACATCTCTGTCTCCTATTGATCAGAGTATATTATAAAGAATAGCAGTTAATTGAAGCATTATAGCACAGGCCTTTGTCAGATGGTATATTACACTGTTTTTTTCTCTGCTTCGAATAGTTCTCTCTTTTTTCACCATACGTGTGTTTGCATCCCTGAATATAATATTGGCAATATCATCGCAGTTTAATATAATAAAATATTAGTAGCATCTGAGCTGGAAGCATGCATGTTAACAGCTTGCGTGGAATTTTGACAATCTTTCAATAAGCTAACAAGTCACATTGTACATATGCAAATGCAGCTCTGCAGCACTCCTCAGGTTTCTTGTGTTGATCTGCCCTCACACTTGCTTTGTGGCATTCAGGAGTGATTGAGACAATGAGCTGAACACCGTGCTACCACGCTCCCTTTCAATCACAACAGATTGGAACCAGCAGTCACAAAATGCTGCTTTGATTCAGGAGCAGGGTCACTGAACTTCGACAGTTTTCTACAGAACAACATATCTGCTGTGATTTCATGACACCTCCTGGGATCCCACTGAGAAAACTCTGCAAAAGCAAGAGAGAAAAGGTCTCACTTCTGTACCGAAGGAACAAGGAATTCATACTTAACAAACTGTGCTT